GGTTGGTGGCGTCATCTTCCTGGATCTTGCGCAGTCGTAGAAGTTCTGCATAACCTCCCTTCCCGTCTTTCCATACCCACTTAGGCTTACCATCTTGATCGTCTATAATATCACCTAGCGAGTCTAAAAGGTAGTCCTTTTCACACTCAGGATCTGGAAATATTGTACGTGAGAGTGCATCTGCAACCTTATTCTTAGAACCCTCGATGTATCTGATCTCGACATTTAACCCTCCAAGTTCTAATTCCCACCGACTGTAGATTCCATAAACTAGTGGGGTTTCAAGGAAGAATGTCAAGGGCTTATGGTCTGTCCAAATAATTGAGGGTGAATCGGTCATAAGCATGTAATAGTATTTACGTGCAAACGATACCATGCCGAACAATTCTAGTTTGTACGTTCCATAGTTTCTCTCAGCTTTATTGAGTAGGAATGAGTCATACAGCAGTGGATATTCCACTTTTCTGCCGCTATGCTCGCCCTTTTTCAACTGCATTTTGGTAATACGGCATCCAGCTGCGAAGGCACTCACGTCTGTGTAGAGATGGATTGGTGAATAAGGATCTAATCCATGCGTCTCGACTACGTCAGAGCATGTCTTCCGAAGTATTTTTTTTTAAATCATTTAATGTGTATTCAGCTATCTAGCTATGACACATGACCGGCGCTATGTATACTGTGATAGCATGAGGGTCAGGAAAGACTCTGACTAAAAGGCAAAACAATAATATGATTGTAATCTATGAGGAGAGAAAGACATGGTGGCTAACGCAATACTATATACACATAAAAGTGGTTCCTCACTGGTCCAAGCGTACATTGTAGCACGTGATTAGTGTCCTATGACATATACATGTGGGATGACTCTTTTGACGTTAGAGACACTCATACTCTGGATTTCATTTGCAAATACCACTATGAGGTATGTTCGCTTACACAAACAGTCGACCCTCCTCCGTTAGTACCCACCAAAGTGGATTCCGAAACCTTTGATTATCCAAGCATGCCTTCGTCATCCATGCATACCAGCGCCGCGAGAAAGGTGGTTGTGTTTTGCTGGATTTGAACCAGCGATCTACTGTCTCAAGTGAGATATGTGTCCAAGCTATCCAGACTCTACTTGGCAGACCGGCCCGAAGTATTTCAAACGAGATTTGCTCAGTTGATTCCCATTGGAAGTCGACATTTCCGGTAAGTCGTGTCAAGGGTCTAGATATTGCTGCAAAGTCTTTAACCCATCTACGAGTCATTTGGATTACGCCCAGAAATTTTCGTACTTCTGATTTTCCACTAATCGGAGGAGGGAACTTTCGAATTCTATCTACTCTAGTTTGGGTTGTCCCCATGATGCCATTTGTCTTGAAAGTAACCCCTAGAGCTAAAATTTGCGTCATAAATAGTCGAAGCTTTGTAACCGATAATCGAATCCGTGCCCACTCTACACGAGGTAAGAAATGCTCTTCCATCCAGTCTAATGCTTCGGCTGGTGAACTGAAACCACTAAATATGTCGTCCATATAGTTACGACAAGAAGCTGCAAGTAGAAGGCAGGCAACGCAACATCTGATTCTTCAATTTTTCAAATTCACAAAAGAAAGGAATAAATAACTTCATGCTATGGAACCACTCAAATTGCCCATTATATTTTAGAAAAAAGAGGGAAGGAGGCATTACTAGAATTTTTACAATCTTCCAGGTGTATATGTGTATACAAGGTAGAATAAATGTTGCAAAACGTCAAGCATATGGTGTTGGCGTGTCTGCAGTGGGCAAATGGAAGGGGCGACTTTCTCTGACAAGCTAAAGACAGGCCATTTGAAGCAATGATGAACAGCCCAGAAGATGTGGCTAGAATCACACCGTGGATACTAAACAAAGGGTGGATAAAACAGTTTCGACTGGTAGGAGAAGTCGAGGTAGCAATGTCGGATAAAGTAAATAGATCTGGAAGGGGAGAGGACGGAATCTGCACGGGCTGAACAGTGTACACTGCAGTTCCTGAAGGTAAACTAAATAAATTGATAGGAACATAAAAAGACAGGATCAGGGGGTTTTCACCACATTGGTTTCCTCCTATGTAAATAATGCAGATAGTCACCTGCATGGACCCACAGGGTGCCTGATCGGGTCAATTGAATTCAAATTCAAATTCAAGGTAGAATAAATAGAACAAAAAGCATTGGGCTGATACATCGAATAGCAAGTCTCGAATAGTTCATTTAGATGAATTTAAGCATTTGATAAGTATTAGATAAATTGTCAAAGCTATATAGCTGAATACAATTTGATTTAAAAAAATAGGTCCCAAGAAGCATTACAGTTGACCTTTAAGCCCTCTGTTTGTAACTCAGTCCTATAGGAACATTCTGTTACAGTTAGAAAACGCCAGAAAATTGCCATAATTCTTGCCTGATCATAGGACGTGATTGCTTCGTTTCCATCCTCCATTTCTGTATATTTGGGCGACACTCTACAAAATTCCATGGCCGAGAAAAACGGCCAACTTTTCAAAGCTTTTTTTCATTCTGGAATTGGAGCTGTCTGTGAAAGCTGGCGAAGTCACTATGCCCAATTCTTGCGGCAATGAGGCGGTGATATGTCCATTAGGGTTTAACTAGCTCCGGAGGGCGTTTTTGTCGCATTAATAGATTCAGGTCTTTATACCTGTCGTTTTTGTATTTACGCCACCAGTCTTCTGCAAGTGCCTGCATGCGTATCATAACTTGGCGCTGAAGTGCTGCAAACGTCATGACGCCATGGCGTTGATCCCAGATATAATCAAAAGTCGTAAGAATCCACAGCAAAATTATGCGAAAGTCGCCGACAAAGACGAATTCTTCATCTTCCAGTGGTGCCAATGTAATCACTCAGTATGCTCTGCATATCTGGGATAGCCAAGAAGAATCGCATCCGAATTGAAGTCAAAAGCAAACACATCCATATCTCCATCTGACGACTTCTCCATCATGCAGCACCCACCATTATCTTCTGAGTCCTCAACCCCGATCTAAACACATATCATCTCGCTTCGACGACCGATAAAGGCGTCGCCCCAATTGCAAACAGGTGCCTGCCTCATTCGTTATCGGCCATCACCCACTACAAATTTACGACGCTATATGTACCCGCAAGGAGGAAATTAAGTCATTGTGTACAAAGTTGGGGTCTTGGTTTAAGAGAGACTGATGCTTTAATGGAGTTAAACATCTTGAGGAGGAACATGTGGCTGAGATGTGGAGCGAGAAGGGAAAGAGGTCTCTGAAGACCATGCTAGGACTGACATATTTGAGGAGTTTTCAACTTTGGATTTTTTGTGGGCGCCAAGACCAAGATTTCGGCTAATTAGCCAGGAGGGCTTCTTTCGTCGATGAGTCAACGGCACTCCCCAGCGCCCTGGACGGTATAAAAGAAGTCGGGCTAAGCTACTATACAGCAATCACGCTCTGTCAAGACTTTTCTGACATTTCAGCACGACCTTCGGGAAGGAGTTGGAAGGAGGCTAGAAAGGCAGAGTGTGCATTCTCCGAGGTACCCACAAGTCTGCAGCGCCCAGCTGGCCGGCCTCTTCGAACGCTTCGGAAGGGTCACTATATCTTCGGATTTAGTCCTAATGTCGGTATTAGAAGAGCTCCTGTTACGGCGCGATCCAAATGAGGTAGGATCTGCCGTCTTCGAAGTATATGAGGTGATTACCGAGGTTCACAATGGAGGTTTAGAATTAAGAATTTAAAGATTAAGAAGAAATCATTGTGGTAGCAAGATACCAAAGTTTATTATGATCAAAAGAAAAGAAATATACGAATAACGAAGCTGAAGATCTGTGTAAGCCATTTCTTCCGCTTCTTATAATTAAAACAATTCATTAATAAAATCTCCGGCTCGTCCTTGAACCATCTATCGCATGAGGGTAGCTGAGTTGAATTGCCAATCTCCTCGGGTATTTAATCTGGGAAATAATATGTGGATTCTTCCTGTATCCCAAATACTAATCATCCCCGAAAGCCTATATTAATAATTTATGCAAGATAATTTCATTAAGCACAGGATTGCAATTTCCGAAAGTCGGTCTCGGAGATGACCTCATAACTTTATCTCTTTAGTTAATATTGGCTGGCTGGATATTTCGGTTGGTAACTCTGCCTCAGTCCAGAGTATTCAGGTCATATCAGCTCCGCACCCAGTGGTTTTTGTGATTTTTTCCGGCTGCCATACACCCGCAAATAGCCATCGTTTCGTTGGCTGGAGAGGGGAGATAATGAAGGGCAAAGGGCTCCTCTTAGTGTATGATCGAATGAGGACTTGTGAGAGGTGGTACTGTTTGAGGGGAGCTGTATGGGAGGCATAGAAGGGGATATACTACTGGTATAGGTATCCTTGGCCTGTAGGCAGAGAAGACCTGCAAGTCCTACATAGTCAAAGACTCAGAAAGGAAAATAAAATTATTAATAAAAGTAATAAAATGATTAATTTGTCCAATCTGTAGATATATCATAGTAACCACAGCATCTAAATCTCAAAGGGTACGCCTGCTATTACTCTGTTATTCCATTCGTGGCCCGTGGCAACTATTGTATCCTGCTAACCGATTCTATCCCCAGTCCCTGATACAATGTCTGAAAAATGTGGCACGGTTATTCCTGTTCATGAATAATTTGGTTGTCAAGTCAACATTTTAGTGATTAACTTGCAAACGTGGAGTCTTGACCTATGTGAACACGATTTCTTTCCGCTAATACCCTGAGGAAGCTCCGAGAAATTTCCGAGATTAATCGCGGCTTCTCTAGTAAATACATAGATCAACTACTACCCTGTACGAGTAGAGCTCTTCACCGTTCAAAAGGCTGATTGTTGTCGGGTCCGGTGTCCGAAAGAAAGAAACTTCTCAGATATTTTCCCTACGCACGCTTTGAGCCCTCGATTAGAATAAGCTGCATCGACTAATAATCCAGCCCAGAGTAAATAACTACGAAGGGCGTCTATTGCCCAAATCTCCTATCCGAATGATGGAATGCTTTTATCTCTTCACCTCATATCTCGGAATGATGAATAGTCGTGAATATTTCAACTTTAATATTATCGCCGACGGAAATTTAGCCCAACTTCAATATTTCGGACACGCGAACCCCTGGTCCTTCCGAAATATGGCAACAGAGACCAACTTCAAAACCATATCCTACGAAGAAATCCCTGTTCTAGATCCCGGGGTTTCGTGGGGAAAATACTGCACCGAGACGAGTGAGGAGCTTTCCGCCGCGTATGAATTATTTTCGAAGGAAGTCAAGCGGCAAAGAGAAGAACAGAAAGACCTGAACTCTAACATGTTTGAAACATACCCAGATTGTATTGATGAGTTAAAGCATGCGATGAAGGATAAGAATCGCATTAGTTTGACCCAAGTCCGGGCTGGAAAATGGGCGTCTTAAACGGTAAAAATCGTGCTGAAATACATTGTAAGAGAAAATCTAGAAACAATAAACCCACGCCAAGCGTGTGTGAAAGATGTGACGATGAAGCCGTGTTTCGTTGCAGATACACCTGTCACAGCAGAGGAGCTGTTGGACTCACCCCTGCCCGCAATATCCCTGGTTTACAACAGCGACGAAATCCACCTCGTCTTTGTGTCTGGGTACTTGAAGGTTCTAAAACGCTTTGGCCCAAATATTACCTACAAAACCTCACTAAATCATGGGGATAATCTATATTCACGTGTCTATCCTGTGGTGAAACAGGCCGAGAAAGAGCAGGATGCATCTATTATAATTCCTCTAAGGAAAGTTATCATCAGCCTGAAAGAGAAATAGAGTATACCTCGGCGGTTAATATTTAAAGTCTAGAAAATGCATCAAATTTCTGATTTGTCTGGAGTAATGTCCTATCAAGTGTTGCGGCTGCTAAGCCTAAGGAGTCCTGTGCCGTGGTGCCACGGTGTCAAGTTTGAAGCGGGGCTTTGGCAAGATTTTTAGCGTGTAAACTAACGCTCCTTAGGCATAGTCACCTTCCAAATTAGGGTTATTCCTCATATTTGTGCAAATTTTCGAAATAAAAAATTGAATGGCAGTTTTTTTCTGGACACCATAGTTTGTAGTGGGTCTTTCCTTCGTATTAAACCTAATTGGTATAATGATCGGCTACATAACAATTGTGCATTTTTGCTACTTGACTTTATAACTTATTTAAAAGAGTTCAAAGGTTTTCGAATTACAAAATAGAGCCACAGTCTTATCCTAACCTTGGATCTGAACATGTGGCTGGAATATCTTCAGGCCTTAATATCTGGTTGGTCCTCCATCCGCATGTATCACAGCCTGACATCTTGCTGGCATACTCTGAATAAGTCTCACAAGATCTTCGGAAGACACGGAACTCCATGCCTCCTTTACAATCTTGCGAAGACTATCTTGAGTTCGCTATTTTCCGCAACCCAGATTCGGATGATGACGCTGGATGTAATCCTTCATCCTATTCCAAACAGCTTCAATTGGGTTAAGATCAGGCGAGTTGGCCAGCCAGAAAATCGGTTGAACAAGCCTCTTGCTCATATCTTCCATCGTACTTACTACTGCATGAGCAGTAGCATTATCCTGCATTACGGAAAGCCAATGTCTCATCTAGACCATGCCGTTCATATCCTCTTTATTTTTAAGTTCTCTTTGTATTACTCGCTCGCTATCACCAAGATGTCTAAAGGGGCCAAAGGCGAGTTCCAGATATGTTTTGCGGCGGTTTGCAAGTGAAGACTCAACTTAAGATATAATCTGACCAACATCATCTACTTTCAGTCTTTGGAATGTTCTTTTTCTCTCTTTGAGGGTGACAGTTCCGCGGCGCAGTGAATAACTAACTTGTCCCCGATAGATGCCTAGTTGCGCGGCAATCTGCGTCTAGTTTTTGCTAGATTCATAGAGCCCATAAGTCTGAAAATTCTCTTAATTTCAAATTTGTCGCAACACTATTCTGGGATGCGTATGGGTTAGGGGAGAGATCGCAATATGTTGATAGTTAGTCACGTGGATTGGTGCAGCTTGGCGTGTCGCCCTTAAGGCTGACACGCCTGTATCCAAGAAATAGAAGAACAAGAACCACCACATCAGAGAGAAATTCGAAAATTCGAAAATTCCCTATTTCCCTTCTCATGATTATTCCTGTGCTTGAGTTCTCGAATTGATGACCATCGAAAGGCGTCCCAAAATGCCTCCGATGAAGAGCAAACGACCAAAGTCGAACATTTCTGTCGGCTTTGAACGGACACACATGTGTCCAAAACCTCCTGGCCTCGCGCAAAAATTATAAAGCTTGTTTGCGAGTGAGGCCTTTGTCCCAGGGAAGTCTTCCACCCTTCCCGACCAAGAGATGACTGATTCTGATCCGATCAGAACAGAAACGAACAGTCAACAGACTGCGAAACCCGCCGAGCTGGCCCTCGAGGCAAGTAGCTCCAGGAAAGGAAAGGAGGTCGTCAGAGAAAGGACGTCCGAACGTGCAGAATTGTCTGCTGGAAAAAATGCTGTGCCAGCCTCAAAAGGCGCAGCATCGACATCAGCTATGGAGTTTCCTCCGGAGCTGCAAACCGTGATGGAGGCCGAAAAGCGACGTACGACGCAAATTACGGCCCGCCTCGCCATCTGCTCGACTGCGATAAACAGTGTTGAAGCAGCACTTTCGCCTCTTTCGATCGGCGAAAATAAAGAATTCGTAGACGGTATAAAAGTCTACCTACGAGCAGCTATTGGCCAGTTCGTTCAATCCAGTCCAGGAAGCACACTACCAGTCCTTCCTGCCCGCCCCGCCAACCCTCTCTCACCGAGGGCTCCAGAAATTAGGGCACCTTACTCTACAAAAACCCAGGCTCCGGCCCCAAAGACAACTTGAGCCACCGTAGCTCGGGCAGGCTTAGTCAGCAGCGCTGGGCCATCGACAAAAAAGGCAGCACCGCCCGCCCAGAAAGCAAAGAGTGCCAACTCGAGTGGAAAAGCCGACTCACGACTTTTTCTGCGCCTTGACTATTTCCATCCCCACCGTCTCCTTTCTCCAGCTGGAGTAAGGCTAGCGGTGTCTCAGGCGCTGGGAACCGCTGCCAACAATATCACGTTGGTTCAGCGGGTAAAGACCGGCTTTGCAATAACCGCAAAGGATGAACTCGCTCGAACAGAGCTCCTAGATTCCTCCACATCACGGAGCGAATCTGTAATCGAACTGGAATCAGCATCAAATCTGGTTGCCATGCAAATTGCCACCGTCCCGGAGACAATTCGAACTCTTGCTGGCCCAATCGCCGTGACGGCAAAGATGGTTGCCGACGAAGTCACGCGAGTGACCCAGTCGGTTCCCTTTCTGGTTCGTCCTCATGGGACTAGCAAACCAGGGGCGCCCTACTCAAATTGGCAAGCGCTAATTCCCCGAGAATCCGCTCCTCGACCTGGATTCCGCCTTTTCGACGACTCTGGAGCTGCAAAGCTCTTTTGACCTCGTCGCAAAATCGAACAATGCAAACGGTGTCTTGAATTTCACGCCACCCGTGGTTGTTCCCGCGCTCCAGCTTGCTGGAAATGCGGATCTAATATGCACTCAGAATCAGAGTGCAAGGCCCTCACCCGGTGTCGAAACTGTGGGGGACCTCACCGATCGGATTCTCGGGCCTGCTTAGCCAGATCCAGCAAGTCCGGACCGGTGACAAAAGAGCAGCTCGCGCGGATCCGCCAGATCCAGCAAGGGGAGTTCGCGAAAGTGGCTCGATTTAGCGCTGCAGCCAAAAGGGCCGAAGAGGCAACGATGGCCTCAACGAAGGATGTCTCGATGGCCGAGGGATCGGGTTTCGGAATCCTGGGATCCGAAGAAGAAGTTTGAGGGTACAGCAACCCTCGGTGAAGTCTACAAAAAGCTCCAGTATATATAGCAGGATATCAGCTGAATTCAGGGTATCTGCGAACTAGTCTTTCGCTCTCAGCGGAGATAAGAAAAAGTCACGTGGAAGATGTTGCAGGAAAGGGAACGGGCGAGAAGCGCGGGATCCGGACCAAACAGTATTTCTTCCAAATTTGATTTCAGTTTTTGATTTATGTTTTTGATTTTAGTTTTGCTGTTAACTTCTACAATTTCAGTAGAAGTTCATACGGTTGGAATGAGTTGGGCCTGTACGCAGTGATCCTTGCCGGCTCCACCGGTCCTTGACCCAATATGGAAAAGATAGCGTTAGCTTAGGACCAAAAGTAAAAAAAAAAAAAAATCAGAGAGAAATTGATGAAAGTTTGCCTTATCCACCCATCCCACCCTTTGAATCCATATCTCATATATTATCACATCAATTCCTCGTGGTACCGCGCCACTCAGCCTTAAAATGGCACCAGTATCCCCAAAATCCGTGAAAACCACGAAAATTGTGTTAACCACAAAAATAGGCAAACATAACCACCAGACTCGTCCGGATACCCAAAAGAGCATGCTTGAATTACTTAGAAGCGTGGCATCTCAGAAAATGAGCGCTAAGAGACTTAGAACGAACGACGCCGATCTCGATTTGATGGAAGTCGACATCGTCGCCCAGATGAAGGAACGCGGCCAACCTGACATTGAGATGACTAATGCCGCATCAATAATCGAAGAGATTATACATAAGGGTCTTGAGCACTCGCGATGGGCATACGCGGGAGCCGAGAGCTCCCAGAAGGCGTCAACTGCCCCAGAATTCGTCGTCGAGAAAGCAGTCTCAGCGACAACAAACGAATCCGCACCCATTGCGGCTCGAAAAATCGTGGTTCCGACAGCAAAGCGGATATTAAATAAAATCACACCGAGGGGAACGGAAGTCCCGACTCACACAATGGCAGCAAAAGCCTCCATACCTCCGCCAGCCCCGGCCACGAATCCAGGGACGGCTGATTGCCACAATCACTCTACTGGTGATGCTCCCACTTGCACGACAATACAACATCCACCTGAAATTGAAGCTCTGCTTGAAGCCGAAAGGAAGCGGGCTGAAATCACCTCAGCCAAGCTCGAAATAGGATCGACGGCGCTGAACACTCTCGAAAGTGTTATCCTATCAATGAAAACAACAGATAACAAGGAATACTTGGACGCCATAAACGTCTGTCTAAGGGGCGCCCTCGCCCAATTCCTACGCACTGGAACTACACCAGTACCGACAAGTCTTCCTCCCCGCCCCACTGGCCAGCAGGCCGGCACCAGCGGGACATTTCCATCATCAACCGCCAGGCCAGCAAGGCCTGCCGTAGCGGTGCCCCAGATAACGCCAACCTGAGAAACTGTAGCTCGAAATGAGCTACCTAATCAGCCGACGCCAGTGATGGTTAGTCGTGCCCCAAAAATGCCGACCCCGCCGACCAAGAAATTGACCAAGACGGTCCCTCCGTCCTCGCCAGACAACCGACTATTCCTCCGGCTGGGTTCAAAACACCAGTGGCGA